AACGAATATTTTGTATGAAAATTTCTCGGACATTCAGGCCGGTAAATGTTATTAATACTGTTTATTATAAAACAGCATTTACTGAAATATTTTTATCTATAAAAAGAATGTAAAAACATAAAAATGTCTTAAAATACAGTACAATGTTACTTATTTTTATTTATAGTTTTCAGGTCATTTATATAAATATATATATGGGCTATAGCTTTGTCTTTATTCAGAATTTGGCTGGCGATTTTCCAAACTCCCAGTATCCAATTAGTTTGTTTTCAAAATATGGCAAAAAACCGTTTGTGCATAGCAACATTTCGCATTTTCTAGAACTTTCTCATACGGTTATTGTGTCTTTATTACAGCTCCTTTTGATAGATATTACGGTGAACTATGACTTTATGCTTGTTATATCGGGAGGCATGGTGGAATAATGGATAGCGACTGGGATTGAGGAATCGGAGAGCTGAGTTCGAATTCAGTCAAATCCATTACACTCATTTACGTGCTAAAACTCTTTTTAAAGGTATGAATCTTCTTCTTCCCCCAACTATGCAGGATTTTATAGCCTTGTTCTATAGTCTTGGATGGCACCGCAGAAAGAACGAGCAACCTAGTGCAGGAAAAAATTGCCTCGTCAGTCATGTCTCAAAAGATACATAATCGGAAGCGTGTAATCACGCATGGCACATAACATGACTGAGGCTTAAAGGTTTAGAAAAGACCTGTAAAATAAAATGTCCCAGTCTGCCTTCGGGTAGCGAAAAATTGTTCTATGGAAGGACATATCTGGAGATGTCTTCGGTTGGGCATCAACTCGAAACTGACGTGTCTAGTGTGGGGAACTTCTTCAAAGTATTTTTCAGGGTGGGAATGTGGAAGAGGATAAAGGAGGTTCGACTGATATTTGTCGAATCAAAACACGGGTGGGTTCATTAATGATCTGTGTTATATCGGAGGTGACGAATAATCTTTCTAAAAAGTATCTGCCTTCTTCATCAGTTTAGTTCGAATGGACTTACCACTCTTTTAATTTGAATATTGAAGTCAAAAAGGATATGAAATTAGATGAGGAAAATTCAATAAGGAAAGATACACAAGGAACTTCGATTAGGGAAAGATAAGTTGAATATTTAATTTTAATGTCCTGTCTCTTGATACTCTGCATATTTAATTACAAAGACTTTTGCCTTAAAGGCGATATCTCACAGAAATACCGGTTTTATTTTTTTATTTTTCATTTTTATTTATTTTTGCGAAACACAATCTTAGATATGGAATTCAGTATATATAATAATATATATATATCATAAACAATATGTAAAAAAAACAAGATTCCATCATCCTCCACTCTCTTCCTTCTCTCTCTCTCACTGTTCAAAATTTTTAAAAACCTTATATTGAAATTTTTATTTTTCTTTCTTCCTCTTTTAATATTATTTCTTTTTCTTTTCTTTTTTCCTCTCCCTTTTCCTTTCGTCTTCATAAATTGACTCCATTTATTAAAAAAAACTTCGGTCTGAAGAGATAAATGTTTTTTTTATATTCATGAAATAAATTATATCCGAATGGATTTTAACTATCGTCTGTATTCATTATATATATATATATATATATATATATATATATATATAGCTCGTTTTGATTTATTGGATTCAAATTAAAAAAAAATTGAATAACGCTGAGCTAATATAAAAGCTATCTATTTTCTCACGTGAGTAGAAAGGTTGATTTCGTATATTGTTAGCATTTGCAGCAGCCAGATTTACGGAAGAATCGCTATTTGGAAAATACGATGAATAAATAGCCATTTTATTTCAACATTTCTGATGTCCAGATGATGGTGTTGGTTGCAATATAAAGAGTTTTAAAAAGTTCAAAACCAACCAAATACCCTCAATAAGGGAAACATTGTTACATAACCCATGATGACCAATCAGAATACAAATATATGATAATAAAAAACGTGACCACAGACCCGAAATACAAACTATTAGTGCATTAAAGATTTTATACATATATATATATATATATATATATGTATATAAATAAAAAGAAAGAACAGTAAGATATTTATATTTATATTAATTTATTTGCAAAAATAAAATTAGGGGTTTTTAGCTTCTATTTTTGAAACATGGTTGGAACTGTGTAGCGAAAATAACCATATTTTAAATCAATTAATTTATAATATATATATATATATATTATAAGAGATTATAATCAAAAAATTTCCTTAAAAATCATTTAATCACCAGTTACTTACCATCGCCTGAAGAAGTACAATCATAGTATTGAAACATGAAAGCTTTTGTGTAGCAATTTCAAAATGTTTTTATTATTATCTCTTATAAAAAATAATAATAATATATCGTTCTACTTTGTATTGAGCACTTTTTAAAAGTAAATGCGATGAACAGTGAATTTCTACTCCATCTGTTCTTTCGCTCATTTGTATATATATATATATATATATATATATATATATATATATATATAGAGAGAGAGAGAGAGAGAGAGAGAGAAGAAGAGAGAGAGGTATTTTGCATCTTGTCACGGCGAAAATATATTTTCACTAGTGTAGATTCAAGGGAAGTTGAGAGAGACTCTGTTCTCAACTTGTTTGTAGGCGTATTTGGCGAAATTTAATATACTAACAATTTCTTATCGTATTTATGCATAATTCATCTGGTAGTTACTGAGAAAATATTTTAATATGAAGTTATGCGTCTGCGCATGTGCGGGAGTGCGTGGAAATAACTCTTTAAACTCAACTCCCTGCGAACTTAGAATAATGGCTGAATCAACAAACCAGCAGTTGACAGGTTGTTTTTCCACATCCAACTTAATACAAATTCAGCAAAGTGAAGAAAAATATTAGATATATAAGGAGATATAGACGTTCTTCCATAACTTCTAAAAATGCAAAATGGAACAGGAAGATCGTAATGGGGCGTGTTTGTCCAACTTGGAAATCGGCATTCGATAATTTTTCATTTATTTGGTGCAGGGGGGTTAATTGCACCTTTTCAGTCAAGGTAATTTTTTTTTATCATTTCACCCCAAACAAGGCGATGATGCCACTAAGACGCTTAGAGTTACGGGGAGTTAAAGAAAATGAAAAGACTTTAGAGAACAAAAAGACAATAAAGGAACAATATTTAGAAGCAGGACGATAAAACTTTTTTTTTTTGTTTGGGGCATTTTTTCGAGAGTTTGCTAATTTTGAAACAGTGAGTATGAAAGGAATAATAGGGGCTTCTATTTGGGAATGGGACGTTCCGGCGTAGCTGATTCGGCAGGGGACGATTTGACATAGGAATTTTTCGGCAGGGGACGATTAGACGTCAGATTACTACTTCGTCGTTATAGTCAAATTCATATTATCTCTCTACCCGCCTCTCTCTCTCAGTAGTCAAATTAGTACTTCGTCCAATTTAAGAATAAGGAGTAGTTGGAGGCAGTTTTATATTTAATAAAAAGATTAGTTGGAAGTATTTTTATATTTTTCCTTCAGTACAGCTTCATATTTTTCAGACGTCAAAGCCCTTTTATTCCAAATGGAAGCAAATATTTTATCAAAACGTGGAAGAAACAAAGTGATACATTATGGATACCTTTTTATTTTCGACACAACGAGCAAGAGGGATCCTGAATTAAAGTTTTGGCGATGTGAACAGAGAGATCGATGTAAAATAGCTTTACTAAGTTTTTATATACATTTTTTTTAAATACAATATTTTTATTTTAAGTTTTTAATCTAAATTATTCCATTAGTGTTTTAATAGGATCCTTAATTCCCTAAATGAATAAAATGCCATATTGAAAGTTGGGTGTTTTCAATGCTTTTATCTTTTTTGGGGGGGAGGGTTGTTTCTCCAGTCAAAGACAGTGACGTCGAAACAGTCTGACACCTAAACGGCTGTGCCGAATAGTCCAATTATTTTTCTAGCTGGCGCCGAATTAGCGACGCCAAATGGGCTACGCCGAAACGTACCAAACCCTGGACGACCATGTCTCTTTCGATTTTTGGGTGGGTGCCTCCGGTCAAAGACAGTGACGTCGAAACAGTCTGACGCCTAAAAATCTGTACATAATAGTCCAATTATTTTTCTGACGCCGAATCTGCTATGTCGAATCAACAACGTTAAATGTGCTACGCCGAATCGTACCAAACCCTTTCTTTTTTTTAGTTTGCGAGTTGATGCCAAGTAAAGAAAATTGGTGACTCCGGAGAGATTACACGGCATCGCTGGAAAGCAAGTCTTAATCTGTAAGTCTGTCGTTAATTTATCGCCGTTTTTATGATAAATGTTTAAATGAGCCACATTCATTCGTTCCACCAGTTCATACTTTTACAGTTAGGACACACCCCACCACTTCCACGAAGGCAAATCACCCTCATCTCCTCCGTGTTCCAAATGTAAGAAAGATATTTAAAGCCAGAAAGTATTTTTAAATTGTAAGAATGTTAATTTACTGATAAAAGTCGTACTAAGGCCTATTCTCATACTAGTAGACTCGTATTACGGTTGGCCTGAAGTGGTTAAAGTTTCAGACAGAAAGGCAAGTATCTGTCTATATTTCTGAAATGAGGTATTATGTACACTATTTACATTATTCGGACTATTGTCCTCATCTTTGACGCCATGTTTATTCCAACGTTTCTGCCTTTGTACGCTTAAAGGACACATGACACATACTAAATTAGTTAGGGGAGAAGAAGTGGATTCATGCCTTTTCCAAAGGATATTTGTGCGTAAGTGAATATAACGAACCCGACTAGAATTGGAACTCGGCTATCCAATTTTTTTGATTAAAAAAATTAATGGTTTAGTGATACAAGTTTTACTAATTAACACATATACGGGGAAGAAGTGGTGAATTCATAACTTTGCCAAGGGTATTTGCGCGTGAGTGAATATAACGAACCCAACTGAAATTGGAACTCGGACCTCCGATTAACAATTCCGAGCCGTTATCCATTACACCACCAGCACATCTAAGCTTATAGCTCCCGGCTCTCCCAAGCGGGGACCCATCTAGGTACTGAGCAGTCCCAATGTTGCTTAACTTCGGTGATCGTACGGAAATCATTATTTCAACGTGATATGGCCGTAAACCCGAATGGGTCTCAAACCTTGTCGCGGAAGAAATAACAAAATGAATTCAAGAAACTTAAGAACGGAATGATTTATGGACGAAAATATTTACTATCATCATTACAAGGTTAGATTACTGTATTATGATAAATTGTTATATCAGCATATATTTTATTTATTGAATTGTCTCCCAACATTGTTTTATTTTGTTTTTGATGGCACCAGGAGTGTTTAGCTTTAATTAACAGTATTTAATACCCCGTTGTTTCCTTGGCATATGTGAATACGCCAAAAACGTTTTTTCTTAATATTTAGCAAGTGGTAAGTTCATTTTTTTTATTAGTGAAATAACTTTCTGAATCCCAGACAAGTAACTACAAGGAGTTTCTGGTTTTAATTATAATGTTTGTGGGAATTACAAGTGGTTTTATTTTTATTGAAAAATAAAATGAAACATATCTTGGCCTATTTTAGCTTTTGAAACTTACAAATTTATTTTTAATACTAGCTCTTTAATTAGAATTTTCAAAATAAAATCTTATTTTTTTTATTTACCCTCTAAAAACCAGAAAGAACACTAACGACAATATATAAGAAGGAAATTAAGAACTAAATAATATCGCTATGATATGGGGTGTTTGAAAACTCCGCAATACTAATGTTGATGGCTCAAGGGTAGGAACTCTGACTGACGCCGAATCGGTCGGGTTTCGATCCAAGTTCATTTATATCTCCCGTTCTTCTTTGAGGAGGCACGGTGGAGTAATGGATAGCGGCTTGGATTAAGGAATCTATTACATTCACTTACGTGCTAATACCCTTGGAAAAGGTATGAATCCTCTTCTTCTCCCTCCCCCTCCACTGCTATGGGTAAATAGCAGGATAAGATCGGGTTCTGTAGCCTTGGATGGCAACTGGTCTAACGCAGAAAGAAATACAACCTACTGCGGGAAAAAATCTGCCTCGTCAGTCATGTATCGAAAGATACATGATCGTCTAAGCGTGTATCACGTATGGCACATAACTGACTGACTATACTAATATTGCGATAATGTCGCACGGTATTAACGAATGAAAAAACAGATCACGTTTATTTGTATTGTCTTTCAAGAAAGGTAAAAATGCGACTCCAGTACCAAAATAGCTTTGTGTTGTTTATGGAGAACGTGTTGTAAATGATCACACGTGTAAAAAGTGGTTTGGGAAAAATGGAGATTTCTCGCTGAACGATTCTCCACGCTCGAGTAGACCACTTAAGACTGATGGAAATGCTAAGGGTGAAAATAACCATTTCCATGCAGAAAACAGTCGGTATTCAATAACCGAAGAGTTACCGTTGGTGTTAGCTGAAATTTATAAAATCTTTTTATTAAAACAGTTTTTCAAAAAATTAAACTTTCTAACTGTTATAGCTCTTTTTGTATTAATTGTAGTTTCCTTCCAAACTTTTTGTTTTTGGTTGTGTGGAAAACTGACAGCTTGATTATTGTTGCGACTTGTAAAGTTCTCCGAAGTACGCAGTGTAGTAAAGGAAAGATAATTTAATTCACGGGTGTAGAAACCTTCCCATTTATATACAATCTAATTTTCATATCACCAAGTCTCCCAGAACCTTAGAGGCTTTATTCCCTTGATAGATCGGCTACTTCTACGAACCACTCCAGGAGGTATACCGCTTGTTTCATGGTGATTACATTGATTCCTCTTTATAAGGGATTCCGTTCTTAACCGGATTTTCTTCATTTGAAACTTCTTCATGTTCTTCATTGTCACTAGACACATTCATTCTCTCGCCCCCTTCACTCTCCTGATCCCTCTCTTCTGCACCAGGTTCTTCTTTCTTTTCAATATCTTCCGGCTCTCTTCACAATCTAAATTGGTCTTCATGAGTTAACACGCTCTGTCCATTTCTTGTTAATATCGCTATATTAATTTTTTTTTTTTTGCACTACAAATTGTGATTTCTCAGGATTTGAATCTTTATTTCTTTTGTATCATACATTTTCATTTGTTGAGAAGGGCATAGTTATTGAGGCTCTAATCTACTTTCCCATAAACGCTGAGGGGCTCTGTGTTCTGCCCTCATGCGGGATGGTCCTGTAATTTAAAAGCATTCTTGATAGATAACTTTCTAAGCTGCTATTCCCTGGAGAGAATGCTTTCAATCCAACTTTTATTGTCTGGACCATCCTCTCCGCAATTCCATTTGACTGAGGATGGTCTGGGGTTGTTTTGTATGATCTAAATCCAATTCGTGTTAACGTCTTCAGCAAACTCTGCTGCATTATCCGACACCAATGTCTTAGGTACTCCTTTCCTCAAAAATACTAATCTTAACACCTGTTTTATAGTACTTACCTTTCTTTACATTATTCGGACTATTGTCCTCATCTTTGTCGCGATATTTATTGCAACGTTTCGGCCGTTGTATGCTCCCGCTTTCTTCAGGTGGTTGGAATGTCGAACTTAATCCTTTATTTCGCTCACTGGGTTAGACTGTTCTAGTTTCACGTGCCATGTTTTAATGGATGTCAGTTATCAGTTATCGCCTGTTAATTTCCCTCTGAAAATTCTGCACTGCCTTAACCGGGTATTGAACTCACACTCTTTGGGTCCTGTCACTGGATCTAACCAACGCCTTTATCCACTGTGTCATGTGTCCTTGAGCGTACAACGGCCGAAACGTTGGAATAGATATGGCGTCAAAGATGAGGACAATAGTCCGAATAATGTAAATAGTGTACATAATACCTCATCTCAGAAATATAGACAGATACTGAAAGGCCGAAACGTTGTAATAAATATGGCAACAAAGATGAGGACAATAGTCCGAATAATGTAAACAATGTACATAATACCTCATCTCAGAAATATAGACAGATACTGAAAGGCCGAAACATTGTAATAAATATGGCAACAAAGATGAGGACAATAGTCCGAATAATGTAAACAATGTACATAATACCTCATCTCAAAAATATAGACAGATACTTGCCTTTCTGTCCGAAATTTTAACCACTTCAGGCCAACCCGAATATGAGTCTACTAGTATAAGGAATAGGCCTAGATCTTTAATGTATGCATGATCTATATGTACTCTTATCCATTGCTCCTTCTCTTTTGACCATGAATAAATCTTGGTTTGCCTAAATCTCTTTATCTTTGCGCACTTAGGGCATTTTCTGACATAATCCTCCACGTCTCGCGTATATCCCGGACACTAGGCTTGTAGTTTCAACCTTAGTTTTGTGTCCAGTGCACCACCATGTATGCCGTCGTGTACTGCTTTAATAATATGTTAACGATTTCGGTGGTACAATAAGATCTCCACTACATATGGCTCCTATTTCAATTCTCAATCATTTTATTAAGTTCACCATAACCACAGATAGAAGTTGAACCGGAAACTTTACGAGATTGAAAATATACCGGTTGGCTATTCTCTTTGAGCAGTCGAACAATCTCCTCGTAATCCTTTAAAAGTCCAATCTCAGGTTCTTCTAATCTCATGCAATAAATTAACTTTGAGGTGTCTATTCTTAATACGTCAACCCCCAAGAGACCATGATCTTTTATGCACTCCACAACTATGTCTGGTCTTTCCTCTAATCGAGTTTTCGTCACGAATAACACCTCAAAGCATCCAAGTGTTTTAATAACTGACCCGTCAAATTGTTTTAATTGCCGATTGGTCCTCCTTAATTTCGGTCTTCCCATTTTCTCCAAAAAATTCTTGGGTATTAAGGTCACATCACTACCCGAATCCACTTACATTAGTACAGTTATTCCATTTATTTTTACCTTTTCTCTATTATCTCACGCTTTTACTTAATAAATTTCACTGTTTCTCGTCAGAGGATCTATCTACTGTTTTTTTTTCTTTTTTCTTCTTCAATATTTGCATACTGACTGGAAATCGTTTTTCTTCTTGTACTTAAAACACATCTTTCCAGAAGCCGGGTATTTATACTTATTCATCTCATGTTCTTTGTCGCAAAAACAACATTTACATAAACTCTCCATAGTACTGTATGTCTCCATTCCATGTTAGTCTTAGGGATATTAAATCTCTGAACGAATTCTAACTGTTGTAAAAATTCAAAACTCATTTCAATTTCTGGAATTAAAGCTGTTCCAAAATTTTGTACTTAATCGAAACGTCATACAGTCCTTCAATTTGCCTTAACTGTATTAATTCCTCTTCTACAGGCATCAGTCCTGTACCCAACTTTTCGAATTCAAAGTACCTCGATAATTCTTATAGCCTGTGAACGTACTGTCTAATGGTTACATTCGGGTTTGGCCTGATTTCAAGAAACTTCGTCCTCTTAGCTATGACCAGTTTCTTTTTTGGACTTACATTTGCTTGTACAATGTTGGTAATTTCTTCAAACGTCAAGTCTTCTAGCATTCTTCAGATATACCATTATGGAGATCTTTTTTATGGCCTCACAACTCGCTGATGCTAGAAATAGATCCATTAGTGCATTTAGTTCTCCTCTATATTTGCTGATACTCAATTTCTTGACTCTCGCCAACGCCGCGAAACATCTCATCCAAATCTCAACCTCAACTCAAGATCTTCTAACTCGGTTAGATATCTATTTGTCGACGCCATGTTGTTGTGTCGTATAAAGTTCTCGCAACTACGCAGTGTAGTCAAGGAAAGAGAACTCTACTCACGAGTATAGAAGCCTTCCAACTTATATACAATCTAATTTGCACAAATATATCTTTATTTTCCCTTCTAGTTATATGTGCCATTTTTGCTGCTACTTTTGTTATAAATCCCCATGTGATATGTTTTTTTTATTTGGTAATGTTTTCTATGATTCTGTAACGCCAGAAAACCGTGATCATATAGGGTGCGGCAAAAATACCTCCCAGAAATATCTCCCCTGTAATGGTAAGACGATAAGATAGCCAACATATTCAAAATTTTCAATTCAAGTACTGAAAATCATTTGCACTAGCTTTTATGTTAATCGCTTTGATGTGTAGCTTCCGCGTATGTTTAGC